GCTCGTTCACACCGCCAAGCCCCCCACCGCACAGGGCAGCACACAGGGGTCCCGGCTGGGGGTGTGGTTTAGGCGGCTTGTTCGCACCGCCAAGCCCCCCGCTGCTCAGGGCCCCACACAGGGGTCCCGGCTGGCATTGGGGCTTAGGCGCCACATGGGGCCGGATGGCAGCTCGAGCTGGCCCTCCCTGCCTGCAGTATGCAAATTAGCTGCCATCTTGGCTGGCAATTAATTTGCATATCTCGCTGATTAGCCAATGGGAAGGGTAGCGAAGTTACAGTTAATTACCATGTTTCTCTATTATTAGATAGGATAATAAAAGCATTATATGCTAATTAGACTGGAGTCCTTCCGGAGGAAGCCGGGGCTGTGAGGGCAGGGTGCCGAGGCAGATGCAGCCTCCGTGGCAGTGGGGCCGAGCCCCTTGCATAAATTTCGTGCATTGAGCCTCTAGTCATAGATAATAGGATCAGTTAAGATTGACTTTTGTCAGGAAAGATTCTAGCCTAGGACATGACTACTTGCCATAAGCTTCTTTTAGTTAAGAAGTTTTAATTTCAGACCATCCTTTGTCATTACTTTAGGTCTCTGAGCTTGTAAGGTTGTCAGGCAGGCCTCTGAGCTTGTCAGGTTAGCATGTGGCCCCTTTTCATCCACAGATGGAATCAGCTGATTGAAAACTTCTAAGTCTGAACATAATAAGTATATTTCATTTCAACTGTGCTTTTGCCCTTGCATTAATTGGTAAGCTCTAAGAGAGCTTCAATTGGTTCATGACTGCACTTTATGGGCATGCCATTTTAAAATACTTTCCTCAAAAAAATGACGATGACCCTGTAAATTATAAATTGGCAATGTGATTTTGAAGGTGAAGGGTTGAAAGACTTAAATCTCAGCAAATGCCATTCATCCTTTTCTCCCTTCCAACCCCAAAACAATCAAACACCCTATCCCAGGGTTCTCAACACTGGCTGCACATTGAAATCACCAAGGAAACTTCAAAAATTGCCAATACCCAAAGACTGTGATTATTTCATTGGCCTGGGGTGTGTGGCCTGGGTTTTGGAAGTTTTAAAAGATCCCTAGGGGATTTTAACGTGCAAACAAGTTTGGGAACCATAGCCCTAATTGGAGGATCATAACCCTTGCTGCATATTCCAAGCACCTTGGGGGATCTTTCAACAATTCAGATGTTTGGGCCACACCCCAGACCAATTAAATCAGAATATCTGGAAGTAGGGCCAAGCCCCAGTAACCAGGATTTTTTGTAAACTTCCCACAGGAGTCCAATGTTCAGCCAAAACTGGGAACCACTGCCATAGGTGAAAATCCCGAACTTCAATAAAGGCAAAATCTGTCCTCAGAGTTTCAGCAACTTGAACATGAACCTAATGAGAAGACAGTTCTGGAAGACAGGTAGGAAGCATGCTGAGGACAAACCCTTAGAGCAGTGGTTCTCAACCTTGGCTGCACATTAGAATCACCTGGGAATCTTTTTAAAATCCTGATTTCTGGGCCTCATCCTCTGGAAATTCTGTTTCCCTTGGCTGCACATTAGAATCACCTGGGAATCTTTTTTAAATCCTGATTTCTGGGCCTCATCCTCCGGAAATTCTGTTTCTTTGTTATGGGGTGTGTGGCCTCACCCCATAACAAAGAAACAGAATTTCCGGAGGATGAGGCCCAGAAATCAGGATTTTAAAAAGATTCCCAGGTGATTCTAATGTGCAGCCAAGGTTGAGAACCACTGTTTTAGAAGCCTCAAAGCCTAGAAAACCCAAAGGACTGAAGCTCTACTGAGTTCATGCAGTCACTCTGCAATCACCTTATAGCTTACTCTGCTATGGGGGTAGTATGTTCTCTCTTCCTGTGACCAGCGCTGAAAGAGAGACTGTGGGGGTTCATGAAATCTTGAGAACTCGACGAGGGTTAAGGAAGAATGAAAAATGAGACTGAGACAGAAATAGAGGAAAAAGCTGGGCCTGGGTGTGGTGTCTACCCTCTGATAGATGAACAGAGCAACCAACACCGGAAGTTTAATTTATACTCGAAGTAACAGGAAGTTACATCATATCTGGGTAGGCCTTGAGTTTCTGGCGACATAGTGAGATCCACCCCCTAGCACCTGGGCTGGAAAGGTCAGACTGAGTGGCGTCCTTGCCTCTTGGCTAGGACCGCCTCCAGGACTTGGCTTTGCCTGCATCCTGGGTTCAGCCGACATATTTAAAAACGCCCAATGTGCTTGCCAATAGCCCCCCACGCTCTGCTTTTTGAAAAAAGCTAGACTTGTTTCTAGCCCTAATTCTTAGTAACTCAAGAACACAGAACATCCTATATACTAAAAGCCTAGGTGGCATCACGCCCTTGTGCAACACCCTTGCGCAATGTCTTCACAAGATGGCTGCGCACACAGCGGAGGCAGGGCCTGGTGGCCACTCTGCATGGTGAGGCCTGGGGGTCCCATGGCTCTGTGCGGCACAGAGGAGGCCGGTCCCAGTGTCTCCACCACCTAATGTGGAGGAGGCGGGTCCCGGAAGAGGAGGCAAGTTGCAGCAGGGGAGGGCAGTTGTGGGTGATCAGGCCAGCAGGGGAGGGCAGTTGGGGGCGATCAGGCCCAGGCAGGGGAGGGCAGTTGGGGGTGATCAGGCC